GCTTGAATCACAAAGGCGAGAAAAAGAAATGCAAGCGAAAATGCAAGAGGAAGTCACAAGGCAAGTGCAAATACAATTGAGTGCCTACGGGATTACAACAGCTCCGGGAATCAACATTAGCTCCGATCAGTTGAGAAGCAGTTGTGCTTCTACGGAGCTGCCTGATGCCATAAAAGATGCAGAGCTGCGCTTCCCCATGGATGACGTCACCGAACCTTTTACATCATGTGAGCTCATTCCAAAAGATAATGGCACAGTGAAGGTAGCTATTGGTGTTGTAAACCCTATCGACCGTATCAAGACACCAAGAATCCATGGGGCAGTAGTACCAGCTGGATATGCTACCGTCTCGGTGGATAAAGCTATTGAAGGTTTTAGCGATGTGCCTCTTGACATTCATGGAGGTGATGGGGAGAAGATTGTGGGAGAAGCAGATAAGTCATTCATTGCATGGCGCAAGCGCTACATCAATATTCCCTGGAAGCCGTTGCCGCACAATAGGTACGGATGAAAGTGAACGAAACAATTTTTTTTATTAATTTTATATTGCCTCTTAAATAACAATTGACTCATTGTCTTCTGTACGCACATAGCAGGGCCTCCCCCAACCTAAGTCCAATAGTACAATCACCAGACTAGCATAGTGCTCCAGGCGGCGGTTACGATGGGGTAGAAGACACGGCTGCATCCCCACCATCTCCAAGACGGTCTCCACCGCCGCCGCCACCGCCTCCAAGGCGTTCCCCAACGCCGCCTCGAAGGTCTCCAACGCCTGTTCCCCCACCTCCTCCCATGAACCAGGGAAGATGGGCTGCAAACAAATAAGCCATCTGCCCCGCCGGCGAAGACGACCAAGAAGGCCCCCGTGAAACCAAGGCCAATTCCACAGAAATTGCCTGGTGAAATGAGTAAAGAGGAGTTAGATGATGCGGTTAAAAAAACCGTCGAAGCATTCTTCTCAGGCGTAGGGAAGAGGAAGCAGCAGGAGCAGAAGCACTTCCACCTACCTCCAGATAAACTAAGGCGGATGGTGGAAGCTGACCAGAAAAAGAGGTAGCAAGCTCGTAAGCCCTCGCCACCATCAGACTTTGACCGCACCCTTAGCAAGATAATCAAGAAAGCTGCTAAAGCAGGGAAAACTGTTGCACAACTCGAAGAACAAGAATTGCAATCAGTCCCTCCTCTAGTTATTGCTAATGAATATGGTTTAAACATAGATATGCTGGATATGATGGAAATACCTGCTGATAAAGAAGTGGATATGGCGGAACTTGCTAATTTTTATGCTATGAGAGGTATCGACCTTGGCGATTTCCTCTTCGAAAGTGCGCCGATAGCGGATGAATGGCAGAAATATGAGCATGGCAGGAGTCTATAGAATCCTAAGACCATCAATGAACTGGGTACACAATTGTTCAAGCTAAACACCTTGTACCTCGACGCGTGTCACCGGAACGAGTTCTATATTTATGTCAGAATCAAAGACGACCATTGGTTTCGTGGTGATGACGTTATGTACATTGAGTTAGCTGAATTACACCAACTAGTCCACCGAAACTCTCTCGACAAGACTCTCATCAGCTGATATTGGCTGTAAGTGATTCTTTCTACTAATTAATAATAAGTTGCTACGTACGTACATGTCTGTGTTTATTATCCTCACTCTATATATATGATGCAGGTTTGAGATGGGAGAGTGCAAAAAGAGAGGGTGTACTGATATTGGTTTCATTGATCCACATATCGTATTCAAAAACCCTAAACCCCAACCAACATGGAAAGCAGAAACGGAGGCCAATATCAAGATGTTCTTAGAGAAGCAACGTGACAAGAAATGTATACTCTTCTCCTACAACTTCAGGTAAGTGTTCATAATGTCGACGATCGTGTATCCATATATATATGTTCACTGTACCTGTTAGCTAATTAATGAGTGTTAATGGACAAGGCAGTGAACACTGGATATTGATGGAACTCGATCTGAAGAAAGGTCATCTAGCCATCTGGGACTCGATGAGAAAAGAGCAAAAAGAGTTCTAAGAGATGATATATATTATTCAGAGGTAATTGCAGTCTCACTAGCAAAACTATTCCAGCCTCTCTGTATGCAAATTAATGGTCTAAATATTTTTTATGTTATTTGGTAGTTGTTGGGAAAAGATCCGTCAGGAACACTATATGAAACGCAAAGTGCCACTGAAAGTAGTGCTATACAAAGTAAGTATTATATACCTACCTTAGTTCAATTTCCCTATGCTCAGATGACGACGAATCTTTTTCTCGTAAAGTGAGTTCTGCGGCAGCCCCAGGGGACCAATCTCTGTGGATACTATGTTTGCGAGTTCATGAGAGTGTGCTAAAAAAGAACTAGTTTAGAGGAAAAAGGGTAAGTGTACACATATATATATTCTTCATACATATATTTATATATATATATTCGTGATAGATATAATTTATTTATTATTATTCTTGATACATATATATATACTAATATACTTTTTCTTTATCTCATATCTCAATTTGAAGACTCGTTGGTTGAAGGAAAAAACCCTAGACACACCATCTCAAAGCAATCCAAGAGACAATAGGTGGATTTCTGAATGATCAGGTCTTAACTCCCGGCGGCGAGTTTTACTATGACCCAAATATGTGATGATGAAAGCCAAATTTCATATTGATCCAAAGAACATGTGATGATGAAATGTACAATTAATGCAAACTTTACATGTGACGATGAAATATAATATTATGTTTTAGTTTACTTTTACTTGTGTTGCTTGCGTGCATTGATCGAGCGAAAACTTTACAGTATGCGCGCGTATACATATATTACTTTGCAGCGAATAATGCGTATTCGAAAACCAAATTAAAACAAAAAAGAATCATCAATTGAAATAAGCAGGAAAAGAAAAAAAGACCCTTTAGTCCTGATTGGTAATACCAACCGGGAATAAAGGGGCCAGCCCAGGCGCTGGCGTGGCTACCTTTTTAGTCCCGGTTAGTATCACCAACCGGGACTAAAGGTCCACTTCTATTCCCGGCTACTAACCCTTTATTCCCGAACTCCTATTCCTGGCTGCGTAACCAGGAATAAAGGGGGTTGACAGCCGGAAATAGAAGCCATTTTTTTACTAGTGTCAACATCACAAAATTAAAGCCACCTTTGCCGAGTGCTTTATTTTGCCGAGTGCCCCGATAAAAAGCACTCGGCAAAGTCTCAGGCACTCGGCAAAGTACAGTTTTTCAGTAGTGTATGCTATATAGTTAATAATACTCTACACCGTGTGTAGGATGATATTACTAGGTAGCAATGGGGATATAGTACAATGATTATTTGTAAATAGAAGATGCAGACTGGGTGGAGAAATCTACTTGTCGGATTACAGTTTTTTGTTACTCAAGCCAAATTGTAGTAATTTGTGATTTTTAGAAAGGGAAAGGAATAAACATGACCTCCTATTGGATATTGTTGAATGGACTAAAGTTTTGACTGCTTTCTACAGTCATATATTAATTAGTATCCAACATGCTTAGGTCTAGTTCCAGCAGAGTAGAGGAAAAAACAAGAGGAGCTGGGTTCCAACGATTTTCTTTATTATATTGATTGCATTATCTTTCCTATAGTTTTAGAGTGATTTTCCCGAGTACAAAATGAAACAAGAGGGTAGCCTTTATTGGTGATTTTTCGTGAAGGTTTTCTCTCCATCCTTATCTCATTCGCATGCTTTAAGTTTTTTTTTATCTAGAGTTTGTGTCAAAAACGCCTATTTCTACCATTTTCCTACGTTTGACATCTTGTCAATTGTTCTAAAATTCAATGTTATTATGTAACTATTCATAGGTTTTCAAGAGTTTTGAGTTTCCTGTATGGTGTACACACGTCTGCAGCTGTTTTATTTTTGGCCCTCTGTTCTTGTGAGTACTTCTCTCCTTATTAGGCTTGCGTCCAGACAGTTCTATTGGGTTCCAGTTACTGGCTGACCATAACGAGGTACTTTTAGATATATTTTGTGGGTGGTAATCGACTAGTCATGCAATTATATGATCTTTCATGTTTTAGAGATAAATGAGGAAGGCACATTGTTCTTTCATTCATGTTTAGGTCGAAGTTTAGAATGCATATTCTGCTTATACTATCTGTTCCATTTATCTAAGAGGTTCAATGATTATCAGTGTAAGCAGTTTATGCTGGAGGGACTGAACAGCAAAGAAACTTTTTTTTTTTGAGGGCTGAACAGCAAAGAAACTGATCACAGGTCAAACAACCATTTTCTTTTGGCAACATTTATATTCCGGTTGCAACTCTTGAGGGCCTAGGGCTGCCCAACTTAGGGTCAGTTTGGCAGCACTTTCAACCCGGTTCCACTCCCTCTGGCCGCTCCCCACTGCTTCCGCTCCGTCCAGCTCCCTCTGACTCCCCACTGCTCCCGGCGCTGTTTGGCAGAGCTCCCTCGATGGCTCCTGCTCCCAACCCGCCAGAGAAAGGGGAAGGCAAGCTATGGCGGCGCCAAGGAGGAGGCAAGCTCGGCCTGGATCTCGGCGACGACGGCCTGGATCTCGGCGAGCTCGGCGACGGCTGGTGCTTCTACTGCTACAGGAGGCGTTGCAGCTGGTGCTCTGGATTTGCAGTACAGCTTGAGGAACCACACGACGGATACTAAAAAAAAAAAACCACAGCAAGTGCCACCACGATGTATCATTGCAGGAGCGTGACTACTGCCGCGAAGGCGGCCGTGGCTACCAGCGCCACGAGAAGGCAATTGACGGGGTTTCAGTTTTAGAGGCAAATATTAATTAAAAATAATATTATACAACAAACGGAGTTTCAGTTTTACAGACAATTGACGGGGTTCAAATATTTAGTCTTTGCATCCGACTCAGGGCAATCTTTACAAACTTATTACTGACTCAACCTGAAAATGAATAGACCAAGTGAAACTTTTGCATGTTCATTTGGTCGGAATGATTTTTGCAAACCAGCAGGTAACTCCATAACACAGTCAACGTGCAGCACGACGCTTCACATAAAAGGCTACCAGCCATGCTACTGCTGTACTGAAGTAAATACCAGGAAGATATTTGAGCAAACCAGGATTAATATGGTCATCCAAACCAAATAAACCATGAGCCAGTGTCTTCTGAGCAAACAAAGCAAACAGCATCAGGCATGCTCCAGTCAAGCAAATATTTGCAGGAAACTTGAGCAGTTGAGTCGCCTTGTCTGAGCCAGGTATGCTCCCTGGCCACCTCGATATCATCCACAGGCTGAGATATAGCATACACCCTGCAACGGCGCAGGAAACCATTGCCTCCGTGTACCAGGATCCCAGGAAATCCCCTTCATATCCATAAGTGGAAGTTAAGCTTGCCAAACCAGCTCCCAGGGGAATGAACAAGAAGCCATCGTTATCTGTGGCAACTTTGCCTGCTGCTGCTCTATAAGAACTTCCACCGTGGAGAAAAGTAGAAAACCAGACAAGCCCTGCAATCAGCTCAGGGATGCAGACCAATGCCACGACCTCTCCCAGCCATTCTCCTGCCATCGTGTGTACTGTTATGAACATCATCACCATGTATACCATTTGGATCCATCTCAGAGGGCGTGTTAAGCCAGGACTGACATCATCGGCCAATCTGGAATACATCAGTGCTAGCATCCCTAGCGCGCAACATGAGAAGAGCAGAAAGTGAGACAGAACAGGGCTACCGTCCCCATATAGTGCACTGATTAATAGTACAAAATACGGTACTAATGCTGTACTCAAAAGGTCCTCAATTTTCTTTCTATCTTGTTCCAAGTCATCCTTTGTTATACTCAGACACCCTTGTGCTGCTTCGAGCTCTTCAGAATTCTTTGTATCCTCTGATCTTTTGCATTGTTGCTGCAATTTGCCCTTCACCAGGATCTTTTTCCAAAGATAAGCGATGAAGCCAAGCAAACAAATAGGGAAGGGAACAAGGATGTAATACTGGAAGTTGATCAGAATCAGCAATACATATGCTATGATCACAGAAACACCGGTGTCCACGTAGATACCTATACCTTTGAACCGGTTCGACTCTGGTCTTAGCACCCGAAGATACTCAAGAACAAGGAGCACACAAAGAAGGCCAAAAAGGAGACCGCTTTGGCCTGCATTGCTCTTTTGTGCATTTGAAAACCAAGAAATAATGGACATAATTTGCATTCTCAGCAGGTTCTCATGAAGTGAGTCTGTGTTGCTCTTCTTCTCCCCTTGTGGCACAACGAACTTCAATCCAGATAATCAGATAGAGAAAATTAGCAAATTTGTATACATATTTATTAGAGACGATGTATGGCTTGTGTATACGTATGTGGCTATACATCTCTAATAATATTGATTAACCGTAAACAAAAAATGCCTCTGATTGCTAGATAAAAAATGAAACAAAAAAAATATCTATTACTTCATATGTTATGAGACAAGTTTTGCATAACCTATTTCTTTTTGTAACACAAACATGTTATTTTGGATTATATTACATTATTGAAGATTAATTCGATCTCTTGCAGTCCAGTAGCACATATGGAATTATATTAGGAACAGAGACACTTGAATTGCATGTATAACCAATAAGCACCCTCTCTCATTTATATGGATTACCATTGTCTACTAGTTTTTCAAATGCAATTCTTAGTTTAACATGAGGGTCAAATAAGATAGACCTAGATGTGGTATGAAATAGCTACTCCCTCCATTTCAAATAATTCGCATTAAATTCCATCTTAGAAACAAATGTGATGGCTTCCAGTGGTGTTTAATTTAGTGGTTGTTTATGAGCCCAACCTGAATTTAAGGAAGGGTTTTTGACTGAGCTGGTTCAAACTTGCAGTAATGTTTCCTTACCTTTGTTGATTGGTGGATATTTTAATCAGAAATCCAAGTGAAAAAATAATGACAAATATGACAGCCATTGGTCCATTTTATTCAATGCTATTATATGACTTCTGGGAATTGAACCCTAGATGGGTTGGATTTAAGGGAGATCTAGATGTCAGGACAAATATCCACTTGGACTAATCTCTACTGTAATGGACCAATCCAAACTATTTTAGGTACACCAAACAATGCGTCCCCCGCTGAGAGAGTCCAACCACTGTGCACCCAGAAAATTACACATAGAATTTTAACATTATTAAAATCTATGGCTCCAAATCCTCCCTCGTAGGCTTCAACTCGATCTGATGACCAACGTTATTTGGATCTCTGGCTTCAACGCACACGCTCAGCCCCCCGCATGCACTGATCCCCTACACACCCTCCGCGACCAGGGATGGAAATCCCACGCTGCCATGCCTCACGACAAAAAAATCCAAAACTGATATACGGAAAAAAGGAAGGGCAGGACGGCGACATCGGTGGGGATCCCATCTCAATGGACGCGGATGAAGCTACTGCAGCGGCCGACGGAACCAGAGAAGCAACAGCGGAGGACGAACCAGATGTGCGTGGAAGCAAGCGAGCATACCAATGCCGGCCAGGTTTCACCTATAGCAGCCTTCCGTACAGGTAAATCAACTAGCTTTGGACCATGCTTGGATTTGTGAAAGCCTGGCCCTTGCTTCTTCGATTAGATGCATCTATAATTTGATTGATTTGGTGGATGTGTAGTTTAATTTGGTGCATTGTACTTTGTTTTTGCAGGTGCGGTCTGTAAGCTTTAGCTGACTTTGAATGAATTGACAAAATAGTTGTAGATATGGGGATAGTTCTACGACAACTTCCAATCCAGAAGCAAACCTTGCACAAGTTATGAGGTAATATCATTTCATTGTGATTTGATTTAATTTGCACTGACATGCCTTCATTTTTCAATTTTGAACTTTTCAGGTGCATTGTTTTTCCATGTGTAATAGTTAACCGATGAATTTGTGCTGGAAACACATGCAAAAGACAATGAAGTGGAAAGAAGATCAGTAGGATTGCTATATTTGGTCTTGACATATGTTAGAATACTTAATACATAGTTTGTGTAAGTTAGTTTTTCTCTGAGTTAGTATAACATTGTAGGTCGATCTATCCAATCCTAGACATCTTTGTTATTGCAGTTAGTGTTTCAGTTATTTGCATTGTTTTGTCCTTGTTGAGATCATTTGGTAATCTCTATCACATAGCTGTGCTCAACATTTTGGTTCATTTGAACAAGTGTCAAGTCATTTGTATCCCCTTGCATACTGCTATATATGTACGACAAGGAAATATGTTTGACATCAAACCTGTGATAAAGATCAGAACCAATGGTTCTTTCTCACACGATATTTTAATTCTAAATGGAAAAAGAGTGCCTACATAAAGTTTGAAGTCCACCTCTTGATTTCCCGTCATGCAGTGCAGGGACTGTGTTGCAATGTTACATGAAGTATTTTGGAAAATAAATTGAATTTTTATTTCTTCACATGGTGGAGAACCTAATGTGTGGACACCATTGAACTATGCCATACTATGTGTTTGAGTAGAGTCAGATATTGTATTTTAAGACTGAAGCACCATAATAATATAGTGTTGGTGATGCAGAAACAATGGTAGAAGTGCAGCAAGTACCATTGGCATTGTCAGAAGCATCAATTTTTTCAACCACCTTAGGCAATGTCGTTCTGTTGTTTTTTTTCCTTGGTGGGTGTGTGGAGATATTTTTTTAACACTATTTGTGTTTTCTTTAGATGTCAATCTTAGTCAGCTTTGGTATACAAAAAATAGCTTCATTATTGATCTTTTCCTTTGGGTTCAGTATTAGTCCGTTCCCCATCATCTTTTGTAGTCCACCACAATCTAGAAGTCCTCATGAAAATACCGTTTTAAAATGGGGTTTAAGAACCAATTATCTGTTTGTTGAATAAAAAGAGTTTTTGTCCAGCCGAGACCTCCAATATTCACGCTTGACCATAATAAGCCCAAGTAGCAGTATTGCCTTTTTAACATAAGCTTGATCTGTGGAAAATGAATTAACGGTCTAAGAACCAATGATCTATTTGTTGAAAAAAGTTTTTATCCATCTGAAAGCTCTAATATTCACACTTGACCAAGAGATATGGGATGCCTAAACAATTAACTTGGCCTGCTCTTGAGGGATAGGAATTGATGCATTTGCTTAATTGTTCTATTTTCTGAATAAATACCAACTAAGTTTGTTCTTAATGTGGCCCGTAGCGTTAGCATGGGCAAATATACTAGTTCTAGAAATGTGCCAACTTTTGAAAAAAAGGATATAATCTTAGCTAGTAGGGTATGAGAGCAAAAATTTTCTCTAGTCACAGTTGATTCCTTGAATAGAGAAATTTCTGATCATATGCCATTGTTACTATGCACTGTAAGGAACAAAGTTGACAGTCAACCTATGTTTAAATTTGAACTTGATTGGATTTTACATGAGGGCTTTTTTACACAATGGCAAAGATTTGGAAGAGTGAGAAAAAAGGATCCACGTCTATGCAGAATGGCAAAATAAAATTAGAAGGCTGCGGTACTTCCTAAGCGGATGGGCTAAGAATTTGAGTGGGAGTTACAAGAAAGAAAAAAACAAGATAAGAAAGCAAATCTCAGCTTCTTAGTCAACATAAACTTGATCTTAAACAAATTGTTCGAGATAGAATTGCTCATCTTCTTCGAGAAGAAGAGACTAGGTGGTTTCAAAGGGTAAAAACCAGAAAGTTCTTGCAAGGGGATAAAAACACAAATATTTTTAGATAGTGGTTAACAGCAAGACAAGAAAATAATTTGTTTAGAATAGGAGGAAGAAAAATTTGAAGAATTTCATCACAAAGTATTATGAAGAGCCATTTGGATCGTCATAGAGAAATGATTTTTCTTTCGATGATCATAAATATAAGATATCCCTCAGGTTACTGAAGTAGAAAATAGCATGCTGGTTGGTGACTTTACGAAGAAGGAAGTAAGAGAGACACTGGGTCCTGATGGATTCCCAACAAAGTTTTATGGCCATGTTTAAAGAATTCCATAACTGTAAGCTTTCATCATTTTAGCCTGAATTTTGGTACCATTGCTCTAATACCGGAGTAGAAGGAAGTAAAGCAGATACAACAATATAGACCACTTTGTATTCTCAATGTTAATTTTAAGATTTTTTTACAAAAGTCTTGGCTAACAGACTGACATGTATAGTCGATAGAGTGGTGAGACCTTCGCAAACGGCCTTTTTGCCTCGAAGAAATATCTTGTAAGGACTAGTGGTGTTACTTGAAACAATTGATGAAATACGTAAGAGGAAAAAGGTTGGTATCGTACTAAAAATAGATTTTAGAAGGCATATGATAAGGTAAATTGGCAGCAAACCTTGAGAATGAAGGGCTTCTCGCCTGTCTAATGTAGGTGGTTTGAATTGATTATAGAGGACATGTATAACCGATAAAGTAAATGATGAAATATAGAGGCCATTATTTTCATATTATGAAAGGACATAGGCAAGGAGATCCTCTATCGCCTATCCTTTTTAACGTAGTAGCTGCTATGTTGGAGATTCTTGTTTCAAGAGCAAGAAACAATGCTCAATCCAGGGCTTCGTGGCCGAATTTGGTTGGTGACAAGTTTTTGGTTCTACAATATGCAGATGAAACTATACTCTTCATAGACAATAACATTGGGGAGCTAAGAATTTGAAATTGGTATTATGTGCTTTTGAAAAGTTGTCCGACCTAAAAATTAACTTCCATAAGAGTGGGTTGTTTTGCTTTGGATTAGCTAAGCTAAGGAGTAAGGATTTGGTGGAGTTATTTGGGTGCAAGGAAAGAAACTTCCCCTTTTGTTACTTAGGAATACCAATGCACTTTCATAGGTTTTTGAATAAGGATGGGACGTTAGTAGAAGAGTGATTCCAAAAAAAGCTTAGTAGCTAGAAGGGTAAGCTATTGTTGGTTGGAGGCAGGTTGGTGTAAATTAACTTGGTCTTTATCTAGTTTTCCTATGCTTAGGTTGTCCTTTTTTGCGATTCCTAAAGGAGTACTTGAAAGGTTGGATTATTATAGATCCAGATTTTTCTAACAAGGTGATGATCATAAGAAGAAATATATACTTGCCAGGTGGAGCATCCTTTGTGAACCGAGGTGTATTAGTGGTCTAGGCATTTTGAGCTTGGAAGTTCAAAATTCTTGTCTCCTTTCTAAATGGTTTTTCAAGTTTATGAATGAAGATGGTCTTTGGCAAGGTGTTCTAAAAAGGAAATATTAGAAAAACAAATGTTTATCTAAAGTGACAAAATAGCCGAGTTATTCCCACTTTTGGGCAAGACTTATGAATGTCAAAAATCTCTTCTTCGAAAAAAGGAAAATTCAAAATCAATAGTGGGCTCCAAACTAGATTTTGGGAAGATTTTGGTTGGCCAGAAACCTTTAAAGTTAAAGTTCTTGGCTCTTTATAGAATTGTGAGAAGAAAGGGTGTTAGTGTGGCTAGTATGCTAAGTACACCCCCCTTTGAACATCTCATTTAGAAGGGCATTAACTAGGAAAAATTGGAGGATTGGCTTAGCTTAGTGTCTAAACTTTTTCCTACTACATTAAATGAGAACAAGTATGTTTTTATTTGGCTCGTCTTTGTACAGAGATATCATGAACAAAGAGAAATTGTTCTAGAGGGCTAATAACCTTTAAAGGTAAAGATTTTTCTTTGGTCGCTAAAAAGAGGTGTGGTTCTACAAAAGATAACTTGCTGAAGAGGGGGTGGAGGGGTGACACTAAATTTCTGTGGTTTAGAAGAAACAATCCAACATTTATTTTTTCATTGTCAAATTGCAAGGATGAGGTCGAATTCTTTGTTCATCATTTTAATCTACAACCACAAAAAAGTGCAGTCCTTATTTGGTTCTTAGTTAGAAAGCTTTCCTCCAAGACTAAAAAGACAAGTAATAGTGGTGTGTGGTGACGATGTACTGGACATTGCGATTAAGTAGAAATGATATTGTTTTTAACAAAACAAATACTAACTCTCTCTTGCAGGTAATCTTCAAGGGAATGAACATACTGGATCAGGCAGTGGTCCTAGTTATCTAAAGAGGAAGAGAGAATGACACTGAGGAAAGGGTATAGTCGTTTAGAAGTCATGGTGATAGATCTAGCGTGGTGGTCAAAACCAGTGAATACCAGCGACAAAGGGATCTGTGGTGGCCAAGAATGTTCATTTTACACGGTTAAACCGCCAAAGTTCTCTAGTTTTTTTGAGTTTAATGAGCAAAAGAAAACTCCGATGATATGGCCAAAACTAGACTGCTCCTAAAAATGTCATCTACAATATCAAATATAGTTTATGGTGTCTAATGAATTTTGTTTGATGTTGTAGATGTTTGTGCATTTTTCTACAAATTTAGTCAAAACTAGAGAAATGTGACCTAGGACAAATGTAAATAAAACCTATAACAATTTGAAAAGATGTAGTATCTCTTAACCTTCTTATGTCCACTACTAAATATTGAGACTTTGACTTAAAATAACTATTGATTTGCCTTCATTTCTTTTTTAAAAATGTGCCATCATTTTTTGTTGCCAGCCCATTGAGGTTCTTTCACGGTTAACAACGGCAGGTAATTTAGATACAAAATTAGATGATTAGCCGACATTGATAATCTAGATATATTCACAAAAAAAAAGATAATCTAGATTTAGATTTAATGGTTCTTTGTATTATTTTCCATAATGGCATTTGTGAGTAATTTAAGCATATGGAAATTTAGAGGTTATTTTTCATAATGTCAAAGGTGGATAATTTATTATGTGTAGATTTATGGAGCTACTCTAGTTATTTTTCATAACAATAGATATTGATAGTTTAATTAGATGCAGAATTAGGATATGGCGGATTACGTGATTCAGAAGTAAATTAGATAAAATCTCTTCTTGCCAACGTTAATTAAATCTACACAAAATCGATAGTCAGATATTTGTTTTGTGGTTGTTTAGGATTTTGTTTTTTCTGGCATGTCGTCATCTAAGGACTAACATGAAGGTACGGTTTTAGGAGCCTTCGGTCAGTCACTGCAAGATATAGTATTATATAATTCTGCAATACAATGAACATGGCTAGTTCAGTATTTTTTGCACATAGCAAAGTTACGCTTATAAGAAGTTATTTAATTTACTGAAGCAGGGCAGTTTACCGTATGGGATGATAATCGATGGAGCTCTTCGAATTCAGTATCGCCTACTGAAGAAACTTCCTTGCCGGTTTTCACAACAACATGGGGATGTTTAGGGTGCACCAGTGCAGCTTTCCTGACATCAGCTACAACCTTGGTGCCTACATCCTCGCGAGGGAAGGCGACGACAGCCTGCATCAGGCTTGGCAAATACTCGACCCCAGACACAGTCGGTTCTTGTGACGAAGACGAAGAGCACTCCTGGAAGTTTAGCTCGAGCTGTTGGAGCATTGGCAAGGAACCAGCGCTGAAGCTTAACGATGGCAAATTTCTGCACCGGAAGCACAGCTCCTTGAGGCCTGGGAACCCGCGGAAGGTAAGTTGCTCTTGTTCCACGGAGACGATACGTAAACAGAGCCGCAGTAGGCTGTCTATGCTTTCGAGGACACTGAGGCCTTCTGCGCTAAGTTCCTGGAAGTTGATGTCCATCTCGACGAGGTTAACACAGCTGCTCGCAACCAACTTTGGGATGGCGTCGTTGAGTCCGTCTATCTTGAACCGTTGAAGCGAATACCGTGGAGGAGTAGGCAAGGAGTGCAATGACTCCATCCAGCAACCACTGCTGCTGGCAACAATCAGAGAACGGAGTCGGTGACCTGCGAGTTTCTGGAGGACGGTGAGCAGGTTATTAACTTTGTATTCTTGGGAGCAAAAGATGGCGAGCTCCATCAGGTTTGTGAGATCAGCAAGCTCCTGCACGGCACTGGCAGTGCTCTTCATGATATCAGCAAACGACAGAGTCCGAAGCGCCGTCAGCTTCCCCACCCCACGAGGCAATGAGATCATCCCGGCAAGCAAGTGCACTAGGTTGTGCAGGTCGACGATACTCGGAGGCAACTCTTGTATCCTTGTGGATCTTATGTCAATCGTTTCTAAGTGACGAAGCGAACCAATTTTCGCTGGGAGCCTACTGACATCAGTGCCCCTGAGGCTCAAGTATCTCAGCAGAAACAACATGGGGAGCACGTCAATGGATGGGTCCAGTGAACCCTGACAGTCTTCCAGGTCCAGAACACGCAGCATCTCCATCTTTTTAAGCTGGGGCATGGCACCAACTTCACCGAATACACTGAGTGACCGGGTATGTGATAGGCCCGCGGATCCCTTCGTCTGTGCTGCCGTGCCATGCCCTTGATCCTCCTCATTATTAGCTTTGCACTGCACGGATAGCCAGCGAATGGCGCTGTTGCTACTGGGTGTGTGATCATCTTGTCGTCGTCCACCAGCACCAGGATGTACCAGAGTCACAAAGTTCTCTTCCATGGACTTGCACACAATGAAATCGAGCATTACTGGGTGAACTCTGCAACTCCTTGCGTTGCCATCATAGTCTACTTGCACTGGCTGGATCAGATTCCTGTTGATAAGCTCATCGAAGTAATTCTTGGCTGTTTCTTCCTTGTCTACCCCATGCTCTTCATCAATAAATCCTTCTGCAATCCATCGCCTTATCAATCGCTGCCTTCTGATCTCGCGCTTCTCTGGGAATATGCTTAGGTACAAAAGACATGTCTTGAGTTGTGGCGGAATATCGTTGTAACTCTGATCAAATATTTCCTTCATTCCATGTAGCTAGGTACGTCGACTTGTTGGGTTGTGAGTTCATTTCAAAATCCTTCAGTGCAGAAGCTGGGGATGTCTTGTTCAAGGCTGCGGCAATATTAACAATGGCTAGGGGCAAGCCATTGCATTTTCTCAAAATATGCATGGAAGCATCTCTCAGACCTGGAGGGCAATCGTTCTTGGAGCCAAAAGTCATTCCATAGAATAGTGTTTCTGAATCACTTTCATTAAGAAGAGGAATCCTGAAAACACAGTCACTGTGACTGGAACAGCAAGCCTTTGCAACACCCTCAATTCTTGTTGTCGTCACTATTCTGCTCCCAAGGTTGTTCTTCGGGAAACAGGACCATACTTCTTGCCATGCTTCCGTACTCCATAAATCATCAAGTACAAATAAATACCTGCTTTTATATATGGAAAAATGTTAAAAACGGTGACATTGAATATATGGAAAAGGAATAAAGTTTAAATTTTCCATATATTCTGTAGTGATGAGAACCTTCATCGCCGTCAGCTTTTAATGTAAATTACACATGTGTTAAAATGAAAGATGATAGAAAGTAACATATTTTAATTATATCTAAATTATCCACATCACCCATGACAAAAAAAAAAACAAAAGTATCTCTAAAACCCACATGCAAATACTAATATAGGCTATTACAAAAACTAATTCACTACCCATAAAGTACACTTGTATTTCTAAATTACACACTTCTACCACTATTATGTTAAAAGTAAACATAATGCCATATTTCATCATGTAGACCAAGTAAACATCTATATCTGAGGATAAATATTTATTCTGATAGCTTATCAAGTGCAAAAAAATATACCATCAACAAACCACATAGCATGACACTAACAATTCACTTTATATTATATTAGTACTCTGTGATAATAAAATTTCAAAGTTGTTATTTTAAATAAGTTTAAACGTTTGACAGAAATTTTATGTCACATTAATATTAGTAATTAAATTTTAAGAAACTCTATGTTTAATAAAACAATACTACTACAAAAGTTTGTTGATATAACAAATTTTGAGTGACGTGATGCAAGCTGAAATGACTATTTGTGTTATAGCCTGAGATCTAGAATATTTTCTAATAAAATAGAAATAAAAAAATTTGAATAAAGGATAGGACAAGACTAGAGTTTCAACTTAACATGTGTTTTGGAAAAATTGCTACAGCTAGATTAAAAGTTTAAATTCAAAATATAGATTCATGATACAGAAAGTGATGCAATAAGAGCTTATATAACTTAAGCTCAGATTTCAACTAAATAAATATCATAGTAAAAAGATAAATCCTAAAAGTTCTTAATTAAAGGTCCCAGTGAAGCTTCTACGTCAATCCTCATGAAACTTGTTGGGAAATAAAAAAAAGATAGGTTTTGGGAATTCTCATATAAAACTAGAAACATCAGACTATCAATTCGGTGAACTCTAATACCATTCATAATACCCATTAAATTTATTATATCACTTAAATAATTACCTTGTTCTATGGAAGTGTAAAACAACATAAAGCCACCCATGAATCTATATTTAAATTGTCCACCTACATGCAACATGATTTAAGAGCCTGTTTGGATCCACTCCTCTAAACCTTAGAGCTTTAAAATCTTTAGAGCACTTTAGCACAATTTTTAGATCTAAAGTTCTAATATGAGGTGGGCTAAAATATTTAGAGCTAACTTTAGACCAAATGTTTGAAGACTTTAGCTCTAAAGTTTAGATGAGTGAAACCAAACATGCCCTAAGTAAATGTAAGTTTACATTTGTTACCGACGTGTTATTATGATAGATAATCTACGTAACCCCTTATATGTTTCCCACTTATATTAATATTAATACAGTAAAATTTCATTAAATTAAATATAAATATTGTGCTATCACGCATATCAAGTATACATGCATACATGAACATAAATATATATGTTATGTACTTTAGATATATTTATATATTTTAACTAAAATATTTGACATACCTATATTGATAGTATACCATTATTACACATTAGTTCCTTAATAACAAAAATTCAAACATCTTGAGAAGTGGAAGAGGTTAGTGCATATTAAAGGTGGCTATATCTTCATGGCCTTTGAGATTCCTTTAGTGTAAATAGTCATTATTATAAGGTTTAAATATTAATATCCTCTTGAGTTTAGCACTGCTTCCACATCTTAAATCTCACTTAAGGTCTAGCATCGATCTTAACCGATGTGATGCAGGTTTCCAACGACTGCTTGCCATCATAGTACTTAAAGAGTGTCATCTATGATCTAATCTTTTATTTTTTAAAAGGTAAAAAGAAGAGAGTTAATAAAAGGATAAAACAAGCACAAAAGCTTCAACTTAACTTGTGGATAAAACATATGTTGCAATTTTTATGATTAAAAATTGTAAATAAAAATTTATATCCATGAAAAAACTGACCTAAGTTTTTAACTAAATGTATTGAAGATACACATATGTATCGCGTTAAGAAAAAAAACATATGAATACAGATGAAAAAACATATTAGGTTATCACAACTGAATAGACACCACATACTATATATTATATCTATTGTTTTAGAAAATAAATGAGAGAAAAATACAACTAATTTTTATTAGTAAGGGATATTATGATATAATAGTTAATACTTCTATCTCCTAAAATTAAGTAGCCCGTGTAAGAGCACGGATTGATGGACTATCGTAAATTTAAGTGATGTGTTCAGGCTGCGCCAACGGCTCCTTGGACCAGATGGTCAGGATGTCCGGTCGGCACTCTCGCGTGAAGGGTTCGAACCCCCACGGGTGCGCTCGTTCGCCTGCTGGAGTTAAAAAGATCCCCTCGCCTGTCCCGGGTTCCCCAAAGCACAGGTAAATGGACCGGCCCACTCACAGGGTACCAGACCCCTGTGTAAGGGCGGGGCATGGGGTTCGAGGGTTTTTTCGGCCTGCGTGAGAAGGTTTTCTTCCTTAAGCACAAAGTTGCGGGGGCTGTCTGCCCACCGTAGGCCGAGTTTTTTTTTTACCTCTTATGCTGCAGTCTGTCTCTGATGATAGCTTTCAGTTTGAGTTCATCCATGTTGATCGCGTCCTGGTACAGTACCCTGTAGTTTCCGTCTGCAACATCGGATAGTAGACCCTGAAGAATCTTACACAAAGCATCGGGACTCCGTCCCACAGAGACAAAAGCCCGGTGTTGGAAGTGTTCTCTGATCTCACAGTAGACCTCCTTGGCAAGAGTCGTCTTCCCTGCGCCGGGCATGCCGACGATGGAGATCACCTTAATACCCGCTGCAGAGTCCCCGTCCAGCACCATTGCGGTCACGTCCTTTCTTGCATCATCCATGCCAACCAATGGGGGCCTGCTGGCAAGCTGGAGATCTGTGTTGGTCGCCGTTGTCCGCGGTGAATACAAATCGGGCTGCGCCGTGGTGGTCCCCATGATGGTTGGCTTCTCCAGGAACTGCACATGTAGGCGTTCCTGTTGGAGCTTGAGCTCGTCAGAGATGCTCCTGCGATGAGCAGGGCCCAGCTTAATCTTGCCAACCAAGTTGCCGGCGAGACGTGACAGGGTACCAGCGATACCACCGGAGGCGACGTTGTTGCCCGCATCACCCACTCCGTTGATGTATCGGTCGATGGATTCCTCTATGCCGAAGGCCACCTCTCTGACCTTCTGCGCCCACTGCCTCGTGAACTCCGTAGGGTTCTCGAGGGTCGAGTACTGCTCAAATGCACCGCGGATGAGCTCTACCTCGTCCTTGAGGCGACCGATGGACTGATGGTCGAGGCCAGAGAGGGCGAACGACTGCTGCTCTAGCTGCTGGAGCTTCTTCGGGAGGGAGTCCAACACACCTGAGATCGCGCTAACCGTGATCACCATGCCTGTCTAACTCTTTCTGGATTGATTATTGTCTTGGCAATGGTTGAATCGATGAGGGGCCTGCAAGGAAGGGCAAAGTATCTCTTTCAATCTTAAATGACAAAATCAAAATTTCACTGCATAAATAAATATATATCAGATATTTGTCAATTCAGAATTTTGGAATTTATAGAAAAATAAATAAATATCAGATCTGTTTCTCAAACATGCATGTATACTGATCAGCATGGTGGCAAGATACATATATATTTATATTACTAGATGAGTGCCCGTGCGTTGCAACGGGTGCAACATAAATTGAATGAGATGTTATTATTTGCGGTGATTATTTGTCTGCCGGTGATTCCGTGAGTTTTATTCTATTCTATTTACTTGCCTTCCAGTGTCTCCATGCGGTAATTATTTACCTGCCGGATATGGATCGCATGAGATGCGGTGATTATTTGCCTGCCGGATATGAATCGCATGAGTGTTTTGGTCCTGCCGGGTAGATGTTGATAATACGAATGTTTTAGTCGTAGAGATAGACACACTAGACACACACATATAATACACTTCGATATATCTTTTATATATTAATTAATACTGGTACAAGTTGATATTTGGAAAGTATGTGCATGCTTTATGATTTTTTTAATAATATATGTTGGTAGTATAGAAGAAATATTTGGTTTATTTGTAATAATAATGATAGGATAGGTATATACTGAACATAAATTCAACGGTTTGTTTAGGTTATCTATTATAATAGCAGATGTTATGCAAATTTAATAAACTCCCTTTGTGCTTTAATTAGTCAGTTATGCATATATTTTGACATCCACCATATGATGCATACACTTAGGGGAGCATAGTCTATGTAATGTGAGAGTTAAGTTTTTGTGATCAATTCTTTTTCGCATATAAAGGATCACAAAACTTGACCCTCCCTTATGCTATTAATATCTTCCTTTTTGGTGTATGATTCCAAAGGGAGAGAACTTGAGGAACCAAAAGAAAGTCTAACCAATAATAAATACCAAATTAAAATCAACTTCAAAATTTTTTAAGTGGTATTGAATGGTGAAGAATTTCATTTTGGGAGGTGGTCCAAGAAAGATAGGAAGTGAATTATGGAGTTAGGGGGAGGTTTAAGTCCAAAAGGCATCATAAGGTGACATGTATATATACAATGACAAGGGCAAGATAAGTATTTCTTTATACTTCAAGTGACATCTATTAGTATCATATGGTCGTGCTCTTGCATTACATCCTAGCAAGTAGAGTGTTTATTTTCAATTGGTATATATTATCTGCTTGCTTTGGTCATGTTATCATCAATCACCTAAAAGGGGAAGATTGCAAGAAAAATGGACCCCATGAGCCATTAAGTTTGATTTTGGTGTTTGATGATCAACATGACCATTTGGACTACCAATTTTTGCCAGTATACAGGGTCTAGTTCAACAGGATGCAAAGTGGACTTTGACCAAAAGCTGAGTCGCGATCCGAATGATCAACACCTTTAGCAAGACACTAGAATCTTTGTTGAAGACCTAAAAATAAATATGAGTCCAAGACACAAAGATGAAAATGTCTGGAACAAAAGACTTGAAGAAGGTGTAGACAAGGAGCTGGACTGCTGCTGGTTCCTCATGGTTGGACCAGCCCTGCGGGCTGCCGGACCACCAGGAAACTGGATTGGTCCGATGATGGCAGTGTGGAGGCCGTCGAATCAAGCACCAACACTGTTCAGCGGTTGGACTGCCAACCTGGGCAGTAGGGCTGTCGGGATGTGAGGCTGATAGGATGGGTCCTCGGCTGCACGTGACTGTTGCCGGCGCTGAGGAGCCATTAGGGCGGCTCATGGTGGAACCGCCAGACAGTGCGGGTGGACTGCCAGGGCAAGAGGCTGACTAGTGGGGTCAGTGAGGCGCCAATGACCATGGGCGTGCTGTAGACTGTTGCACTGACCTCACGATCGGACCACCATGCAGGGTGGTTGGACCGTCAGGTTCTGCTGGCATGGGCGGAATGGCCCAACAGCCATATTGGAGGTGGGAGGCAATATATACCCCCAAACCAGCCCAATGTGAAGTCAAGGAGTTGGGAAACATATGTAGGGAGTTGTTGCTCCATTTTAGAGCTCTTGCCACATATAGTGTTTAAATATCACTTAGTAATTAGTGTAGGTACTTTGCGAAGTGCTTAGGCTAGTTAGATCACTGCTAGGCTACGTTGATAGGATTGCATCTCCATCTCATTTAAGCTTCCGTATTTTATTTGTGTATCTAGGTTGTGTGCTTACATTTTTAGTTTATCTTGCTAGGCTAGTTGATAGAATTAGAACCTAAGTTGCATAACTCTTTTGCAGTAGAGATAGCAACTCACCTAGCAAAACCTTAGTTGCACATCTAGATTATTTGTTTTATTGCATAGATTTTAACTAGGTGGAAATTAGAGGCCGTAGTTTTATAAGTATAGTTTTTTAGGAAAGCTAATTCACTCCCTCTTAGGCGTCACGGTCCCTTCAATTAGCCCTTAACCCTATACCCTTAACCCTAAATCCTATTCGTGATGAATGTTGATGCAATAATTGTGAGATTTGATGTGTCGGGGTTATAACCCTAGGGTGTCTCAAGGCACCGATTAGTTAGCGGGCGAGCGGCCCATAACACATCAGTTAGTGAAGGCCCGAACGACCGAGGCCCAACTAAGCCAGGCAAACCAGGCCGAATGCTAAGGCCGGGTCAGCCACGACCCCTCCTTCGTGCCTTAGCTACACGGCACTAGAAAGGCGCACGACCTCTCCCCCATCACGACCCCTAGAAGGAATGGAGAGAGGTCGAGCCTAGTCAAGTGTGCCCGCTCTAACCTCGGTCCGGTCAGACGCTATCCTTGTGCCACGCCACACAGACAAGACAATACCGTCCAAAGCGGTGACGACAGGTACGATGACCACTGGCCAGATACGACCCGACGAGACAAGAGTATGATCCTGCCCACTATAGGACGGGATCCACGGCGATGGCCTCGACTCAGAGGCCATCCAGGCTAGCGGAAACCATGACCCCAACGATGGGGTTCGTGGCCCCCCGCTCCTCAAGACAACAAGGCAACCAACGACCCGGGGGTGGCCACCAACTCTTGTACGACACCCTAGGAAACCAAGAGATGATGACGAAGACCACGGCGGAGACCACATCACACAGGATGGCTGGTGAACTACCATCGTGCCTACAGTGCCGCCATGACCAGCACAGTAGCACCATGCCACACCATGCCACGACGTGGCGACAAGACCATGACGACAGCCACACCCGGATGCACCTCGATAGACGTAGCTTGTAAGCCAAGTTAGCTAGGACCTCCCTCAGGCTCATGACCCTTCAGTTGGGAGAACCTATTGCTTTGTATGCGTCCTGGCTCCGAACTCTATATAAGGGTAGCCAGGGCACCCTTTCCAGACATTATGAGTCCCCTACTCATACACATCCTCTACCATTCCATTCTTTCACCATAGTAGTAGGGCCCTGAAGCTTCACTTCGGTCAGCCCTCGCCTAGCATAGGTTCCACCACCTCTTTCACCATTCTTGCACCCCCATTGTAAGAACTTCAAAGCATTCAAGCGAGGAACATGCACTCGATCATCTCTGAGATTGGACGTAGGGCTCTGGCCTAAACCAGTATAAATCCTCGTGTCTATTGGATGCTACCATCGTCTTCCTAGAGTAGCGTGGCAATTGTATAAATTCACTAGTCCGGTTTATGAAACACTGACATGATGTTTTCCTGGTTGAGTTCATTTTTAATATGTGCTTGACTTGTGAGTGTGTAGGTGTTGGGCATGTCAAGTTATGTCATGTGTATTGCACAACATGTTTCTTGACTAGTGAGTGTGTAGGTGTTGGGCATGCCAAGACTATCGATGGCGATGGAGAAGGTCAAGTGCGGAGTTCATGCATGATGGACCGGGAGCGGTGAAGGGTGAATGAGAAGTCTAGGACCGAAAGGACCAGAGGCCGGTGAATAGATTGTGTGCGGGCACATGAAGAGCAAGAGTACATGGGTCATGGAGACAACATCAACTGAGTGAAGGGTGAGATTGGACCAAGTCATGGGCAGGTGTCACGAGCACTTAGTGGATCGTACAACCAAGGACATGGAGGTCAGATACGTGTTGACATCGGTTAGTCATGCCTAGTGAGACGTGCATGAGAGTTTGGCGATTTGTTTCACAAAACTGAGGGTGGATGGTTTGGTAGTTTGGTCCTCAAAACCATCGAAGGAGGTTTTGTTGGTTGGGCCTCAAAAGTAGGCATGGATGGATATGTGGTTTGGGTTTCAAAACCATTGGCGACGGGTTTGAACTTCTGGTCCTCAAAATTGGGTAGTGACAGATCAGCGGATACGTGGTGGCATCTCGAAGCTTGCATCGAGATGAAGTGAAGTTGGGATGGCTTCAGGTCCAATTTGGATGGATTCACCCCTAGGGGGTACATGGGTGAGTGTTTCATGTAAGGGAAACTTGGAAAATAGCCAAGTGCCTACATATATGGGAGATGGCTACTTGTGAGCCTAAGTATTTGGGTATTATTAGATTCTCATTTGTGAGGTTGAGAGTTTTGCTTAGGCTTAGACAGAGAGAGAGAGATAGCAGACATGCTCTTTGTTTGAGCTTTTTTCCAACCATAGCTTTGAGATATGCTAGAAGTGGCTTCCAATCATATATCTTGGGTTATTCTAAGGATCAAATTCATGCGCTACTTTGCCATATGATGAGATCTTAACATAGGGGTATGTTAAACTCTCGAGGTAAGAGGTTCCCGACCGATCCCTCCAGGATCGCCTGGGGGCTCAGGGCTACACCCCTCAGGTGCGCTCGCACTCATCTTATGGCCAATGATTGGGCTAAGCCCGAGCGCACCCTCTGCCTCTGCTCGGGGCTCGGTGGATCATCCGAGCCTTAGGCTCCCGATCGATAGGAGTCTGAGCCTAATCCTTTGCCCTGGCCTTCAGCGCTAGCCAAGGCCTAGGTTGGAAGCAAGCGCCCCGAGCACCCAAGATTCGGGGGCTCCCCAGCATAGCATGATGGGCATAGCGCTGTCAACCACTCCTCCGACAGGGTGACACACGGGGCATGACATAAGGGGACAAAACACCTCCACTGGCTTTAGGGGCTCAGGGGCACCGGGGCCCACTCGTTCGCCTCTCAAGTTGGACGCCTTCGCCACCAAGGAAGCCTCCAGAAGGTGCACCTAGTGGAGGGCTAGTCCAAGTCGACAGAGCCTGACACTCAGCGTGTCAGAACAGAGTAGCCGGGCGACGCCCAGGGCTTCTTCGACTCCACAACAACACCAAGGTCCATCCATGCCGCTGCAAGGCCCTCCTGGACTCCGGCGCATGTAGACCATAGATTGGACTCTCCCAAACTGCCGTGTACATGACCTACCTCGATATATAAGGGGAGGTCGGATCCTACAGAGGAGGAGTATGAACAAAACAGAACATAATAGATCATTCGAGTCCTCACTAGAATAACTCATGCTCTGCACCGAGAGCAGAGCCACCCCGAGAGGAGTAACGAGACTTCCTCCACCCTTTCCATCGTCTTCCTCCTCTCCGACGAGGGGGAGACCTCATCGCCGACGAACCTAGGATCAACACCGAGCGATCCCTGCCAAATCTCTCTCTTACACTTTGTTGTAACGCCCCGATTTGGATGCTCTTGAATACAAAAATCATCAAACTACTGGACGTAGGGCTCCGATAGCCCGAACCAGGATAAACCTCTGTGTCCCTTGTGTGATCTTTGAGTTCTTTTGTATTCTTGAGTCCACCCGAGTCACCGGAGACCTCACACTCAGTGACACCCGACAAACAACAATGCTTGCCGTGGTTTCGACCCCGCGGCAATATACAAATCTAAAGGTTTACCTTTTTCGGTGATTTTCAAAGCCATTTTTGTGTGACTTCCGCTCTGCTGTTTTGGCTGGGTTATAGACTTGTTTTGGAGTGTTTTGGTAGCATGGAACTGGTTCAATTCGTGGCTTGAAGCCCAACACTTATCTCCAATGTACCAAACTCAAAAAGCTTCTCATTTTAAGCCTCTTTTAGTGATTTTCTTGAAAATATTTGAGGAGAACTTTTTGAGATGATCTTTACTAGTTTGTAGGTGCAACGAGTTCTTGGGAATATGCCTAGGCTTTGCGATACTATTCCACCTATTGTAACGATCTCTTCTCACGTCAGCAAGCCTGCCCAAGGGGAATTCGAAGCCACCTACTACGTGTGCAGATCTCTCTTTTTTCTCTTTGTATCCGTGCTCAATCCTTTGGTTATACACAAGGCACCCTCTCTGGATGAGGGCCCTCGATTTTTTTAGAAATACTGTCTCTTTTTTTCGTCCTTAGTTTGTAACCCTTACTGTAATCATCGAGCTGTTATACTCAGAAACACAAGCAAACACCATCCACTGGACGTAGGGGACGTTAGTATAAATCATGAGTCTCTGAGTGCTAGTCCATGTGAAGCCTTTTTGCGCGATGCTAAATTTAATAGTCAAAAGGATACCCTTGGTATAAAACGTCGACGAAGGGCTTCTATAGAGTAGCTATGGCTCTGGTCCAAACGGTCATCCAAGAAACTGCTCCAGATAAGAAGTCCGGAGGAATCAGAGCCATTTTTCTACCGGGAGTATGGAGCCGTAAAAAGATGGCTTCTCCCGACTTCTCGTAAACTTGGTACAAATTATAACAAGACCGTCCCTAGAGTTGTTTTTGCTAAACATTTTTTAGAACAACTTCAACTCTACCGGGAGCTGGATCCGTTTAATAAGAGCCATAGCCCTATCAAACTGGCCTTAAGCCATAAAGCAAAACTTTGAGTGACAGTTAAGTCGTTACTCAGTTGAACAAACATATGGCGACTCGCTATAAAGTGCTAATGAAGACATTGATTTGAGAGCAAGAACATGAGAATGAAAAACCGATGAAGAGAGTATGGAAGCTATGCTAAGAATTGAATAGCATGCTAGTCATATAATTGCATAAACCTCATTGCGAGGTAGTTATTATAATAGGTCATTCTCAAGCGGGGTCGAAATTTCGGTGAAGTTTCAGTAATTTAGGTGGCTAAAAGAAAAGTCCAAATTTTCATATTACACTAATACATGTTCTATATAACTTTAGACTCATATTTTCTATTGTTTATGTTGCATATTCTTCTACTCATCAATAGATATAAATTTAGAAAATCATACTTCATGTTTAAGTCTCTAAAAGAATTGGAAAAATTTTAGCCGAATTTCGCGAATTGTGGGTGTGGCCAAAAAAAATTTAATAACAAAATAAAAAACCCTGTTGTCGGCCCAAGATTTCGTTATGTTTTTTCTAAAATTGTCAAATCAGCTAAAATAATACAATGATATTTGGCTGAAACAACAACCGTTGAGGACTAGGTTCATTTTATTTTATAACCTCCATATAATATTTAACTTCATGACTCATTTAGGGGCCGTTTGGTATGGCTCCCGGGTAGCTCCCGGAGCTGTTTAATTTTTGTGCTCCGAGTGCCAAACGGGTCAGAAGGCACTAGCTCCGACGAAAGAGCCGTGTGATTTGTGTTCTCACACGCCAAGCTCATCAGTTGGAGCCAAAAAATCGAGCTCCCACCAGCTCCTTGTCAGGTGCACGTGGGCCCATGGCGTATTTGGCCGTGGATGCCCCTGCCTTCTTCTTTGCGCTTGGGCACGGAGCGACATCGGCCTAGGGAGGAGCGGAGGTGGCGTGGCGTTGGCCTTTCGCAGCCACGGGTGCGTGCGCCATGCCGGCCGTGAGCCCCCGGTCAGCCGCACGTGCTCAGGCTACTTCGGCGAGCTGCCGCTCGTGGCTCGGTCCTCGGAGGCGTGGGGGAAGAGGAACAGGAGGCCACGGGAGAGAGTAACGAGAGGATAAGGCAGGCGTCAGGCGGGTCTGCATGCATTGCCGCATTGGTGATAAGGTAGAGAGAGAGAATAAATAAAGAGAAAAAAAGGAGAGAAAAAAAGAAGGAAAAGAAAAATAAAGGTATTTTGGATCTTTCATTTTTTTATGAGAAGGAGAAGCTGTTTTACCAAACGGTTCGAAAAACAGGTTCGGCTCCTCAAGTGAATCAGCTCCACAGGTAAAGCCATAACTAAAGCTATTTTAGCTGGAGCCGGAGCTCTACTAAATGGACCCTTAATTAAAGTTATAAAGTGAGTCAAAACTCATTTCTTCTCAATGTTGCCATGTCAGCAAATATATGCATGTATGGTGCTTTCTTAAATGCAGATAAAAGTAAAACTCCAATTAGGATACCCGCGACAGTTAGCGTGTCAGTACCAACTCATTTATAGAGAGTGCAAAAGATTGGGCATGTTTGGTAGCCTTGTGATTCTTTTCACCTGGAAATGACTTCCGATTGTATTTTCATGTGCACAACAAACCTCTTGTAAATCTTTTCCCTTGGAAAATTGTGTTTGGTTCATATGAATTATTTCTCAACCCTGGAAAAAAAAGAGAATGCAGACGCAGTAGCCAAGTCTGTACTTCGCGAGAAGGGATTGTGAAATCAATATCCAAACGCAAGTATTCGATCTGCACATAATTCGAATGAAAGCTGAGCTTCATCAATGGATAGTCTCCTACGTACCTCCTGGCCCCGTTGTTCAATCCAAACTCAATACTCCGCCGCCACCACAGGGACTACGCCCTGGGCCACCGATGCCATGCCCGCCGGGACGGCGGGACAGACGCGCGCTCCCGCTCCGGCAGCCTCACGAGGCACCAGCCGGCTAAGGAACGCGCCGGAATACTCTGCCTCCGCCCCCGCGGCCACGGGTTCACGCGGCGGCGCAACCGGGTGTGGCGGGTCTCACGGTCTCGATCTCGCGCAGGTGCCGGAAGGGTGACGAACTGACGATGCTCGGGGTGGGTGGACGAGGAGGCCAAGGCCGTGATGCCGCCAGCGCCGGGAGGAGGAGACCTCGCTGCTGTTATTGTGCTAGTTGCTACCTTCGCCGCCGCCGCAGCAGGCTTCTCTCAATGACGCGAGACGAAGCGAGCGGGAGGGAGGAGGCCACGATAGACCGATAGTTATCGTATTTTTTTACAGACGTGGTGAGGAGATTGTTTTAATCCGACGGTTTTGCCTCAAACCGGATGTAATATAATTAGGGTCACCGGCCATCCAAACGGTTAATTCTAGATTGAGTTGGAAAAATATTAGGAGCTGTAATTTACAATGGTTTTTAGGATAAATATCAGACTTCCAAACAAGTTAGACTAATTTGCGTAACATTACTATGCGTCTCACCTATTATGTCTATTTTATTATTACTAGAATCATGCCCGTGCAATGCACGGGAATGAAATAATACGACGATAATTTATGTTTTGAATGTTCACAACAATCCATTTTTACGCAATTATCGTTGTTGACCAGATATTCAAGTTTCGATATGGAATTTAAACAATCTTATTTCATACCTTAACAACCGTGTTCATTATACTACTTATTCTACCAAATCTTGTCCTGGCTATGTTGAAACGTAATTGTGTTGGAAGTATATATCGTCCTGCATATAAGATTTTTATAATATTTAAAGCTCTCGTTTGAGTATAACATATTAACGTGAGATGACCATATCAAACGCAAGCGTTAGGTAGGAACGTGGCCGGATAGCATAGGTACTTGGTAGTCTTTGTAATTGGATCGTATACGTTTTCTGTATCACCGGATAGATGATTACTTTAGAGCTTTTTTAGGTGTAGAGAAGAGAAGAGATTTCCCCCCATATTCTATATATCTTCTTCTAGCTTCCATCGTTCTCCTCCCCAATTCTCATGACCAAGTCGCGTGGAAGGTGCCAGCCAGCTACCGGCGGCGGGGGCCATGCCTGTGCCCAGACTTGTTCGCGGCCAGCGACGGGAGCCATGCCAAGGTCTGTGTCTAGATTGCCTGGCGGCCGGCGGTAGGCGCTGCACCTGGCCTGCCCACCCTTGCCAGGAGTTGTAACCCCTCTTCTTCCTCCTCACCTAGCATTACGCGGTGGCCTAGGTCCTGCAGCCCTCACTGACGGCCGCGTTTCCTCAAGCGGTGGCGCACGGTGTCCGAGCTCCGCCCGGGCCGACGATCGCGCCTGTAGCAATGGATCTAGATCCTGCCTACACCATGATCGAGTCCATGGTAAACAGAGGAAAGTAGAGAGACGGGAGGAGAGGCAGGAACGTCGATGAACCCCATACCTTGAGTGAAAAGACGATGTATGTATCGACTCTCGGTACATCTAACGGCCGTTGCAGGTGCCCTTAGCTTAGGAAGTGGCCTAAGATGTGGTGACCCATGGGACATGGGTAGAGAAGAGGAGCAAATTAAAGCATGGCTGCCAGGTGCACAAAGGCAGCCAGAGTTTCGGCGGCCACGGCCATACGATGATATGGCAGCGCACGGCGGCCAACTAACAATTAAACACTCGCGGCGCGGGAGGGGGAGGGCCTAATAGAGAAGCTCACCTTGTGAATCACGGTCGTGTGACAACGCACCAGAGCGGCTAGGCGACCCAGATCTGCGGCGGTAGCGATGAATCCCCTCCGTCGTTCTGGAGCATGAGCTCTCGGGCTATGCTATGCGGCAGGCTGCAAAAACAAGAAGTAGCTGGTGGTTATATTAGGTCCCTAGCTACTACCAGCGTCCGGCCTTGGTAATAATAAGGTGTGGACGTCGTCGAGGGGATGGTGGCTAGCTCACCGGAGTCGATGAACTGTGCACGCACACGGCAGCTGGATGTAATGGGCGTAATTGCGGTCCCACCTGAGACAGATCGATGGCGCCGTTTGGAGCGGCTATGGGACCAATACAAGCGTTGTTCTCTACCAGCGGATCGGAGGCGTGGACTTAAGACCTGCTGTGCTGTGGTGGCCAAAGGAGGAGGAAGAGTGGCGGATGAACCTTGAACAATGCGTATGCAGCATGCGATGTGCGGGGGACCGTCTGAGTTCTAGCGCCTAACAGAGGGAAACAAACAAGACTGGGTAACATGCCGCGCAGTCGCGCGCACGCGGAGGAGCGTGAGTGCACAGGTTGCGGGGGCACACCCGCACACGGCGGTGCTGCGGGGTGGGATCTGATCTGGGATAGCCAATGCCAAGCTAGCCAGACCGGATGTTCCGTGTTTAGCCTATCGGATGGGGTTCAAGTCGTCGTCCAAGTCGTCGTCGTCGTCATCTTGTGGTGTCTCTGCCGCTTTGTCCCCTCCTGAGTGGTCCGTTCGGGCGTCCCCTTCCATGTCTGCTTGCACCACTTATTCTGTTCCATAATCTATCTACTATGTCTATAGTGAATTTGTGATTAGTAGTAGTAGGTAATGTCTCCGTACATATTCAGTAGCTAGCCGCGTATGGATGGTCCGGTGCACCGCGTATTCGCTGTCCCCGCGAATTTGTGATTAGTACGTAGTAGTAGGTAATGTCTTTCCGAGTGATGTTCCGTGTCTGAGAGTATGGAAGTTCCGTGTTCGTCCGTACGTGTCTGAGAGTATGTAAGTTCCGTGTTCATTTGAGTGGATCCTAATAAGTTGTTGACTCATTCTCTCGTACGTAAGGACATGGACACATGGTGACCTCGTCCAAGTAGCTAGCCCACACGAACCTCACCGTAGTTCTGCCACTGCCAGGAAAGTTCTCTTTATTTTCCCCAGCACTTTCTTCTTCTTCTTTAGGACCCTGCACTCTCTTCTTAAAGCTGTGCCCCAGTTCATCTGAAGCCTAGCTTGTCTCAGAGACACACACACAGAGAGAGAGAGAGAGAGAGAGAGAGAGAGAGATCTATAGTTGATTCTACCTGCACAGCTACACTACACATCGGTGATAGCCCCAATCTTCTTCCTGTTGATTCTGCCTAGGCGCACCAGTATCGTGTGAAGGTACAAACAAGCTGATCCCAACAAAATACATCTCCCATTCACTCCCTCCCCCTTGTTTTTTTGAGCATGCATGTTTGACGTTAAATTTGACCTTAGCTTGTTCTTGATTCTTTCATTTGATTGATTGAGAGATTACTAAATGTAGCAGATCTGAAATATTGTTTTGGCGTTATTGAGAATGGTACGGTACTCATTTCGTCTTCATCAGTTGACATTTCTTGGACAACATCGATGTTTTGGAGAGAATGTGTTTATCCAAACAAGTTCATTTTGTTTGTGCATACTCAGCTAAGATTCGTATGTATGCATATCCGTCGGAGACATATTGGCATTATTATCAAATTAACCTGGAAAACGATGTCACGTCTGCAGTGAACACGGAGTAAAGAAACATAGAGGAGGGTTATACCCGGATCCAGCCCATATACAAGTCATTCAGTGGTGGAGGTCGAAGCGGTTTCCCAAGATACAAGTGGAAAGAACAATAAGATGCAGGTATAAGTATTACCATTGAAATAGTGAGTACTTTTTCCTAATATAAATAAATACTATAAGGATAGTGTTTATCTTGCAAGAGGTCGGAGTCTTGTTGTTTTTTGAGGTCACTAGCTCATCATCAACGAACCCTAGTATACAGTATAAAGTGTTCCAGAGAAAGGAATCTTTTTACCTTTGTGTCGGTTAGCTCATCAAGCAACTTGTGCTTCTGCACTTGTAACTTTAATAACAGACATAAATAATACTTCCTCCATTCCAAATTATAAGTCATTCTAAGAATCTTGGAGAGTCAAAGCATCTAAAGTTTAACCAAATTTATATGATAAGATAATAACATTTATGACGTCAACTAAGTATCATTATATTCTTTATTAATTATATTTTCATAGCATACATATTTGATGTCATAAATTTTTATAATTTTCTCTATAATTTTGGTCAAGCTTTAGATGTTTTGACTCTCCAAGATTCTTGAAATGACTTATAACTTGGAATGAAGGGAGTACTATGTATGTATCATGGACTCATGGTTAAATTTGAGGCCCTCATGCATGTATGTTTGTTCTACAGGACAAAGAACTAAGGAATCGTGTCCGAGCTTTCACAGGAGCTTTCATAGTTATGATTTCCCCTGTGCTCCTTGCTATCGTTCTCAAGAAAGTCAACTTAACCGGTGCCGGGAAGTATCAGGGCATCCGGATGCTGGAAGTACTTGTTGGTCTTGTTCAAAGAAGGTTTCCCGACCTCGCAGCAGTTACTTTACTGATGGGCATACTACCCTTCCTGTGTGTCATGGCATCAGAAGCATGCGACATCTTGCCTCCTCTCAGTTATGTCGCCCCAAGGCTGAAAGCTGCGACGAAGGTGCTGCTGTTCGTCGCTAACGTTTTACTGATGCTCCTAGGTTGCGGGATCTTACTTCTCTTCCACAAGAATGCTCTGTTAGTAGTTACATTTTGCTCGACCATGGTGATCGTTGTCATGGTCGTCAACATCATAATCTTCGTCATCGGGTACTGCTGCGATCCAGGCACAGATGAAGATGCCACTGCGGAGAACCACACTGAACTGGAGCACTTGCTGGAGTTCTCAGCTGGCGTAACCGTCATGATGTTCCTGGTGCTAGAATGCGTGGTATTAGAAGGCCTGCTGAGAAACAGTCAGGGACAAGCTGTGTGCCTGGGTGCCGCTCAGCCTCCAGCCCCGACGCCATCAACTGCTCAACAAGGACAGGAAACGGTCCTTGGTGGCACCTTGCTCATCAGTTTCTTCACCACCGCGTTTGGCGTGTCTCTCATGAACATCTGGACAGTGTTTGGCACGGCTCCGCGTCCGTGCACTCCTCCGTCAGAGCCGGAGCCGGAGGCCGGAGCTGCAAATTCTGGCTCCGAGTCCGTAGGTGAAATGGGCTCTGCCTCCTCTTCCAAACACGCAGAAGCGCCAATGGCGGAGCCGCAGCCCAAGCGCCAGCAAACAACAAGCCCCAAGAGCAAAAGCAAAACTGTGACCTTGACAGCGACATTGCCATGGTGTTTGAATTTCATTCTTCATGCTGTACCGGTTGCCGCGGTGCTGGTCCTGATTACATTGGAAGTGCTACCACAGAAATTGAAACCAGCAGTGTGGCTGCCGTTTTTCCCTCCGGCCACAGTACTTTTGATGTTGCTAGCGCGTTGCAGCTGTGAGGAAGACTCCTCGAATAAAGAGGATCAAGGGCAAGCAGGACCAAGTGGAGCACAAGCGGAGAATCAGATGGCGCCACCAGCAGAACAAATAGTTGGCAGCGGTAGCGCCTCATCGGATCCAGCTGGTAAAGCACAGCAGCCCGAGGACAAGGACAAGGAGCCCGAAGATGAAAAGCAACCGACGGATAAGCCGGCCCCGTTGGAATTGACCAAGGTGGCGTTTACGGGATTCTTGGCTGTGGCAGTACCCAGCGTGACGAATGCTTCTGTCGGCAACCCCTCCATAGTTTTCGTGTTATCTACTGCTGCTACCGTTCTCATGGGCCTCTTATGGAGGCTCCTGACTACGCACGAGGCCGAAGCCGAACCACCCTCACATGTCCTCAAAGCTGCCAATCATGCTTCCTTCGGCGCCCATCTGTTGATTCTGATCGCGGGGGTTGCGTTCTGGGTGATGGCTGTCAATGTCTAAGTGACATCAAGTCTTTACAGTTTTAGCGTTGTCTTAACCATCTGTACTGCCAGTAGTTTAATTTCTTTTATTTAAGACATAATATAACGGAAATGTGGAGTACGTGTACCAATTGAGTGGAAAATTTTGAATTATCAATTATTTGTATTTGCCATACAAGTCTTCTGACTCTTATTAGCAGTCAACAAGCATGCCGACTATATGTATCAAGCTAGAATACATCTAGAGATTCTAAATTTTGTCAGAAGGGCACAACTTTTTAAGGAAAAAATTTACTTTACATCCTTATACTGCTGCCATAGTCTGATTTTCCTCTTTGCCAAAATCAGACATTTTACGTTCCAAACTCTCGAACCGTTCAAATACCTCCTTGTCCTTATCTGAAGTGGCTTTAAAGGCAGTGCTTTCTGTTTTTAGTTAAAAAAAATCCAAAAATATACTTGATAAGGTTTTTAAACTATAAAAATGTCTCTAAGATTCTACAGTATGAGAAAAATCATACAAATAGATTGGGATACAATGAATTCAAATAAAATATTTAAAGCTCACAAAAAACCATCTGGAAGCTTAAAAATAGATTTAGCTATAAGAAAATAGAAAAATATTTAATAAAATCTAGAAAATTCACAAAACATTCTAATTATGTATAAAAATATTTTACAAACTTTGCTCGCCAAAAATATGGGATATGCTATATTTCAGGTGCCTGAAATATAGCATTTGTTTAGATGATAGCTAACAACCAACAGATCTCCATCCAACGGTCCAAATCTATTAGCACAAATTACAATAAACAAATTACATTTTTTTTCCATGGAAGGACAAAGACAAAACTAAACTATAGGAAATGTGCAAAAATATGACATGCGACTAACATGAATGCAACATACGTTACTGTTGAGCGCCTTGTTGCTATGCATTTGTGCATGTTGTGTCTTATGTTTTTGTTGTGAATAGTTTTTAAAATGTGTTTAGACATGAATTAGAATGTTTTGGGAGTTTGGTAAATGTTTCTAGATATTTTTCTAGTTTCCTACAACTAGATCTTTTTTTAAAGTATCTAGATATATTTTCACTAGCTCTAAATATTTTATTTGGATTTGTTGTATCCAATCTATCTCTATGATTTTATAGAATGTTTAGAAACTTACGGACATTTTCTATAGTTTAAAAACCTTATCAAGTTTTTTTCCTTGATTTATAACTAAGAAAATGACTATAATGCCTTTCAAAACTAATTCAAACTAGACAACAAAGGTAATTTGAATGGTTTTGAGAGTTCATGGGGTAAGATGTATGGTTTCAAAGTTTGAGAAGGAAAATCACACTAATATGATAGTTTAGGAACTAAAATGAACCTTTTCCATTTCTTAATAAAACTCATTTCATTTTCAAAAAGTCCATAATCACAATTGTTATGCACATCTTGATAACCTTAAATTTTTGAGTTGCTAATCAAATGAAAAAAAAACTCAAAACTATATATGTATGTTGTTCAATAGGGAACTCAGATAATAAGGACCCACTATCTTTTGTAGTGTAGGAAGAAAAATGTTCTTATTACAGAGTGAAATATGTTGGAATATGATACTCCTAATTATATGCAACAATATTTGGATCTTTGAAAGGATATTACGAGTAAGACATAAGCTTGCACTGTATTAAGAACAACATAGGCAAATCTCGTAGAAAACTCTAGATGTCAATGTTGAAACCACTATACACAACAAAAGATTACAATTTGGCAAAGTTTACCACAAATTATTTAAGCACAACTATGATAGGATTTAGATGGCTAGAGGAGGTGTGAATAGCCTATAAAAATTTCTTCCACAAAACCACAACACGAGCAAATGTGATTAGTCTAAGAAATTATCCTAATAGCCACTACTTGCTCGAGCTCTACACCACCAAAGCAAAGCTCCTACACAATTTTAGTAGCAAGTGATTTCTAGTCTAAAACACAACACCATGCACACAAAGCTACTAGCTACACTAAGCAACACTAGATAGGTAGCTAAACTAGTGAGCAACTAAGGAACAAGCTACTCTACTACTAAGGCTATTACTAACTACAGGCTACTCTACCATGCAACTAGCACTCAAGCAAGAGATATGAAAGTAAATGAAAGCGAGAGTAGTAGCAAACCAACAAGGACAAATGATCAACGCAATGATTTATCCCTGTGGTTCGGTTGATTGCTAGCAACCTACGACCACGTTTTGTGAGTCCCCAAGTAATGATTCGTGTGCTAACTAGGGTGACAAACTAGACCCACAACTTTGGTGCCGCGGAATCAATCAAATGGTGCACTTCAACTAGCCACGATCATTCCACTAGAGTATCCCTTTGCAGCTCCGCATGTGGGATCAATACCTCTCACAAATCACCGGTTGGAGGTGGAGAACAATCACCAACGCTCCCCTCAATGACCACAGCTACTCTAAGCCATCTAGGTGGCGGAAACCACCAACAATGACAAGAAAACCGCAGCCCAATCGAAGAACTAGTGTCACCAGATGCAACTCAACAAAGCAAATGCACTAGATCTCTCTCAATCTCACTTGGATCAAGCACAAGTCAAGAGATGAGCGGGAGGTGTTCTTGGATCGAGGCTCACAAGTGTGTTGGATTGCTTAGAATGTCAAGAGAGCTGGATCAAGCATTACATGTAAGTGTTCTCCTTGGCACATGATCTGGTGCTCCACTGTTAGCACCACCAGATCAATCCGGTGGCTTTTGTGCACCCATACCAGGATTAATCTGGTTCCGGTTGTGATGAGGTGGCGTTGGTGCTATATATATTATACCTTGGCGAAGAACTTGATGCTGTGGCCAATCCCGACGAGGTCCATCTTGTTGTCGAACCTGAAGACGTGCATCGGGGTCCCCGTGTTGTCGGCGTCAAAGATCACGGTGTAACTCCTCAGCAGCCCAGCCGTTGTCACTACTATAGTAGAGCACTATAGGGGTGGCTGGTGAGCCTTTATAGGGGACCCAACCGTTTCTACAAATCAAGAATTTATAGGGGCGGTTCCCAAGCCGCCCCTACAAATCTGATTTAAGCCGCCTCTACAAATGATTTTGTAGGGGCAGCTAGTATTAATTAATATTCTCTGCCGTCTCATCGTCGTCGATGACGAGGAGGCCCACCTTCCGACCAAGCACCGCATTGGCAAGGATCACGCTGGGGTACAAGGAGGTTAGTTGCAGGAGAAAGAGGATGAGCACTACTGGCACAGGCGCTGCCATTGCTAGCTAGGCTGCTACTGCTACTAGCTAGCTATAGCTGTGGCTAATGCAGCGGCAATGCGCGTACGTGTTCCTGTCACCACCGGATCAAATTTTAAATATGAGAAATTTAAACGTAATTTTTCCTTAATAGATAAATTTAATGAAAAACTTATCAACTACAAGTTGTATAACTTTTTGAGATCTACAACGTTTGTTTTTGTCGTTCTCGATCCAAGGTTGTTTAAACAAATTCAAAGTTGAATATATTTATAGAGGCGGTTGTAGATCTGGCTATCTCTAGAAATCGATCTGTGGGGTGGATAGATCTATAGTCGTCCCTACAAATGCATATCCCGAGATGGCTCGTTTTGGGAACCATTTTGAAAGATAGCTTTAGATTGAGCCGGCCCTAAAAAAGAGGCGGCTCTACAAATGCTCTTTTAAGTAGTGATAAGAATTTTAAAACCACAAAAAAGTCTCTTGACTTTTAAAAATTTCAGTAAAAGTCATATTAGAGAAAGATTGGAACACGGTAAATCTAAATAAAGCATTTAAAGCTCAAAAAAATATCTGCAGAAGCTTTCAAAGATGGATTTAGTTCGAGAAAAAAAGGCTAGAAAACCTGAAAATTTTCTATAACGAGCGCATTTTGAAAACTTTTTATAACAAAAACACGAGATATGACTAGTATGAATGTGTTCATCATTAATGCTGGCATTGCTGAAATCATCCTTGTTGCGGATGTTTTATACATACTATTACTATCACACATTCACACTGCTTACAAGACACTAGCTGTTGGTGCGAAAAGTGACCAACACGTAAATATTTAAAGTTTTGTCGTACGTTGTGATCGGATGTGGCCTAACACTCAATGACACAGGGTTTATACTGGTTTAGGCAATGTGCCCTACGTCCAGTTTGAGTCGGTCGATGACTTTATTCCTGAGCCCAGGTGCTCGAAGTTTGCTGTGGGGTTACAAACGAGAGGGAGTAAGATGGGGGTATCAAAGGTCCGGTCGGACTTCGGACCGAAGGGCCAAGAGTGACAGGAGCTCCGACATGCGCTAAGTGTTCGAACATATGCTCTGTCTTGTTTTAGAGTTATAAAGCCAGGCAGAGAGAATCGGTCTCAACTGTCTGAATCATCCTATGTCAATCGATCGTCCTCCTTTTGGAAAGAGTGCGTCCCCCTTTATAGATGAAGGGGACGGCCTTACAAGAGAGAGTATGAGAGAAAGAGTGTGTGTGCTACCTAGTCTTGTTGCCCACGCTGTCGGGTATAAGGTGGTTTGTCGATGTCAACAATACTGTTGATGGCTGGATGCATGTGGTTGGTTCCGCTGTGTTCTTCTGGTATGGCAAATGTCGGCGCCTACCATATTGTAGGATAAATATCGGCGCCCATAACACTGTTCGTGTTCTGACAGGTCTGGAAGGTTGCAGAGCACCCTTCTGACATGACCTGAAAGTACTGTCCTGCAGGTGTGCAGGGTACGGTCCTCGGTATTGCGGTATGACTTCAGCGCCCTGCCTTACTTGCCCTGCCTGATTCTTTGGGTCCTTACCGAGCGGGCGTCCCCGTTCGGTCGTTTTCCAGTCGGCTCCGATCGCGCCGGTTGGAGAAGAACTGTAAGCAGAGGTTCGGTGTTCTCCCGGTCGGAGAAGCGGGTTGGAGTCAGATAGCGAGCGTTGTCCACTCCTTGACCAGGCCTTTCGGTTGGAGAGGGGGGTCAGAGTCAGAAGTGAGCACCATTCCTCCTTG